TGACAGCTTGCTTCAACCAGAGCATTAGGACAGCTTTAGTCCCAGAAGAGTGGATGCACAGCTACCTGATTCCACTTCTAAGTCTGGCAAGAATCATTCAACACTCAGCGACTTCAGGATGATAATCCTGCAAAACACCTTTCTTAAAATGTTGGAGAAGATAGTGGCGGGTAAGCTACAACAATTTTCGGCACGAGGATTGGGAAGTTACCGGCCAGGGAAGGACACATGGTCAAATGCAGCCACTTTTGCCTTTCACACCTTCGAAGGTTTCCAGAGCTGCCAGGAAACGGTGACAGCGGCACTTGATTTAGAAGATGCTTACAACAGAGTCCGATTCAGTATCTTGATGTAAGCGCTTATGGAGAAGGGAGTCTGTCCTTGTTGGTGAACTTGTAGCCGTTTTGTATACTCGCCGGGAAGATCTCCGCCTGGGTTCATGTATTATAGCTCCAGGACTACCACAGGGATCTGCAATTTCACCAGTACTGCTCGATGATTTTACGAGCAAAAGATCCAGCCAATCTGTCTGCCTGTTCATTACCCTTCACGCCGGCATGGCCTGGAGAAAAGATCCGAAGTATGCTCACAACACTAGAGAATTCCTATAAAGGCTCCGCTGTCATCTTCACGTACCAGTACCGATGTCCAGTTCCGATGGTACCATTAGTAGTCCTGCCTTTCCCCTTGAGTTCTCAGTATCGGCCAAATCCCGTGGCTAGTCCCTGCTGCACAACTCTCTTCAGTCAATAATGATCTAAATGTGCTTCTGAAAATGTAATATAATAGTTATAAACCGACAAGACGAGAAGCCGAAGATGGACAAGTTTAAAAACTAGGATCTGGAAAACAAAACAATACACACCGGAACAAAAGTGGGTTAGTGTCAACAAAGCAACATATCTAGAATTGTAAGTATTATCTGAAATTCACAGACATTTTAACATACACGAACATGGTGATTAATCTTTGACCAAAAGCATGAAATGCACACATTTTTGCCTTAGTGTTCGCAAAAATAAGTCTGATTAGTCTATGATGTAAAAATGATGAAAAAAAAAAAAGGGGGTAAATAAAAAAAGGCGTTGCCCGGCGAACAGTGACGTTCTAAGACTCGCCCAGTAATTACATTTGATAAACTTGCGATAATTAGACGATTAATATCAGCCATCTACAGTTGGTCATAACCCTATCAGCCCTGACACCCAGAATATCTTGGTTCTTGTTACAATTGTCTCCACTTATACGTTGAAATAAAAAGGGTAAATATAGTTCGGCAAATCATCAAACGGAGCGCATATAAGATATAGCCGCGAATCTGATAATCTTAGTTTCAACTTTATATCAAACGGGTCACCCCATAGTTGCTCCGCTCCTGTGCCAACAAAAAACACACAGAATGTTTATCACAGTTCCTTGTGGAAAGATTGAAAGACTGCTGTCTCAGCATATGCACTAGCATACACACGCATTAACTCTTTCAGGACGGCATTTTTTCTGGGGTTTGGTCAGCATTAATTTTGAGCGAAATTTTTTTAGTGCAACATGACAAAGCTAAAACCTTCCTGAAGAAAAAGTATTGGCTGTATCGGGACTTATAATATATCAAATTAAAGATAAATGAGTGCAGAATAAATCTAAACAACTTAAATGTCAGTATAACAAAAAAAAATATTTTTAAATCACACAACATTCAAGGATGTTAGACACATGAAAATTTTTGACACAAAAAATCTTGTGCTTACATTATTTTTTACTGGTTCAACAACACTGCCATCCAATTCTAAGAATTCACATGCCTTCTCTGTTCAATTATGTATTAGCTAGTCCACAGCCAGCTCCGGATATGCAGCCGGACATGGCTAGTCTTTATTTGAAACAATTAATTTAAATACTTTGGATATTATAATCATTTTTGTATGACATGTCAATTTTCACAACAACTAAAAAAAGGAAAAACAGCTGATTGAAACATTGATCTGATTGAAATATTTTTTGAAATTTTCATATCCTAAACTAAATTATCGCTAGTAGATTTGTCCCTTAGATATCAATCATAATATCAAGACTGTTGTCACCATCTGGCAGGGATTCATCAACGATAGAGCAGTATGGACAGTTCTAGACCTTTTCCCTTATCATTTAGTATAGAAAAATCACGTACAAATTGTATCCCATCTAAATAATATTTTTTTAAATGACAAAATAAAGCACCGACTACGATGAACATCGCAAATGAAAGTACACCCTGTTGTTAATCCCAATTGTTAAAAAACTTGTTCACAAAAGTTTGTTTTCCCTACAAACGGAACAAAATTAGAGTGTCTCTATCATGAGCCAGTAAACTGGCTTTACGTCTTTAAGTGATAGACTTCATCGCCAGTATACTGGCTAAACGTCCATAAAGAGTTAAAGGCATACAGTAGCCATCAGAAGTGCTAACACAAACAGTCCGACATTAGAAATGCATTTCATCATGGATGGTAGCAGAAGTCACCAACAGATCAGCAGTTGCACACGCAATCATTTTTAATCACAAAATGGCACCACCAATATTGCGACAACAGGCATCGTGCCATTTTCTGAATCTACAATTCACACCCCCATGTTGGTCACAGTGGAAAACATTCCAAATAAAATCAGCAGCTCACAGTGTCATGTCATGCACTCAACTCAGAAGCTGGGCGATGAAACTATCCTTTCAGTCTACAAATGCAGCAAAAATGCACCGTCTGGCAAAAGCAAACAAGTTTGCCACAGCTCACAACAGTGACCGTGCCTAGCGTCCATTTTTACAGGAAGTAGAATACTAGCCTCATCCTAGGAAGATGAAATGCAGCCTGAAAACTTTATGTTATGACAGGGCAGACCAGGCCCTTAGCCTTGTCTGGCAGCTGGTCTAGTAGGGAAGCTCAGACAGGCAGACAGATAAATGACTGTTCTTCTGACCCAGCAGCTTCTGCAGCCTGCTTTGTTCTAAACATACTGCTGTTACCTTTCCTTTGGAGTAAACAAGGCAGGTTGAGAGAGGGATCATGATGTATGGGCAATATATGATCTCTACTACACAGCCCAGGCTTCATGCTATGGTAGTCACACTTGCCAAAGGCTGTGAGTCCCTTGCCTCCTCGTAGCACAGTATAACTCTCTTGTCTGGAAAGACAGAAAGGTGCCAGTCAATTTCGCAAAACTGAAAACAGCAGCCTTAGGGGACACAATCTATTGTAGGTAACTAATACTTTAGATGGGTGATTTAGGGGACATAATCCACAGTTTGTGTAAGTTCACATAATAATATTCTGTAATATTTAATATTGTTTAAGATTACGATTTGGGTTTAGGGTTAGGGCTAACCCTGTAATTTGTCTGTGGTGGTTTCTGCCACTAAAATGTTAATGTCTCCACTTAGAATTGACATACAGGCTTTACGGAGGTATTGTTGGATTGGATATTTTAAGCTCTCTCCAACTGAGATAGTTTCATAAGTAAAAACCTAGATAGTTTCATCAGATTAAGCCTAATATTTAAGAGTTACATATGAGCGCTCATTATTCTTTACGTCCTTCTTAGGACGTAATTTTTTGTTATTTGAAGCCCCACTCTGGCTTTTGCCAGGGGCCGCAATATAGGCAGGCCATCAATATGGCCAATTGTCTAAACTCGGTTTCTGGGACCTCTCCACGGCGATCCTCATCCGTATGGTGGCACTTTGTGTTATCGGGTGTTTATCGCTTGTGTGATGTCCTAGTGGGGTAGAAAGTCAGTCAGTCAGAGTTACATATTTCAAAGGACCCTAAATATAGCAGAAGCATAGATATATGTATATTGTTATCAACAATCATCACTGCATATTGGACATTCCCATGCATGCTTAGTCCTTCAATGCAGCAGCCACTCTAAGGTCCTTCTGGTTAGTTGTGTATCCTTTACAGGACGTTGCAGAACCAACCCCAGCACTTTCTGATCAAGTAGTTTGCCATTGCTTTCTGGATGGTTGACTCGGTACCACGGTCAAAACTATTGCAAGACATACCGTCTGCAGCAGGGATCGAACCCGGCACCCCACATTATGAAGTGCGTTTGCAACGCCTAAGCCACAGACAAAGTCCTTCTGATAATTCAATATTTGTTGTCACAAGTTGGTTGTCTCCTGCTTTGGTCTTGAAGGATGCATAGAGGTGCTTCACTATGCTCTACTTCCATAGTGTCAGATTCGTCGTCATCCACTAGTTTTTTGTTCAGCATTGATATCTGCTCTGTCCATAGTCCCTACCTTAGTGGTGCATTGCTTGCCAGTATCTGCTTGGTCATTACGGTAATGACTGAGCGGACCAACTGGCAAGTAATGAGCCAGTGCATGTGGGAAGAAGCATGGCCAGGTACTCAGATTGAGGTAAAATGGTAAAGTCAAAGAATCACACCAATCACAACCAAAACAGCAAAAACCACCGTAATGGCATCCACAAACCCAAGTCTAAAAGGTATCCATCCATGAGAGGGGTTGATCCTAAGTTTTTGAGGAACCTGAAGTTCTCCAGAAAACACAATAAGAAAGTTGTCAAGGCTGTGGCCGACAAAAAGAAAGTAAACCCTTTGGGAAGCATGTATGAGATGGTTAATAAAGTTGGTTGTCTCTGTTAAAAAAAAAAAATTGATATGGCCTAGCCATAGATATGGCCTAACGGCTGAAAAGGGTTTTTTGGGACCTCTCCACACTTGATCTTTATCCACATGGTGGCACCTTGTATCACCGGGTGTTTATCATTTGTGTGATGTCCTGGTGGGGTACAACTACTTATACAAAACTTCACTAGCATCCCTAGAGATGGCAGTAATAGTATATCCACATTCATTATTTTTGTTAGTTTGTAATTATAGCTTTATGTAGATTTATCCTCCCCTTTTCCCTTTTTATTGTAAGGTTTATTGCATTGTAATTCAACTATTTCAGGAATTTGTTTCTCCTACAGAAAAGATGAACCTGGCAAGTACATTCGTGAATGAAGCCCAGTCAGAAGATGTGCCAGTTAGGAGAGGGGCTGTGGTGTCCTCATCACCAAACCCAGACCCAGGCCACATTCTGAGAGAACAGGTATTAGGCTTCTTTAATTTTTCATCCTTAGTGTGCCTTGTCTGAGTCTAAATAGTTGCAGTTAAAGGGAAGGTACCCATGTTGCAGTTAAAGGATCTAAATAGTTGCAGTTAATGGATCTAAATAGTTGCAGTTAAAGGGTAGGTACCCATGTTGCAGTTAAAGGATCTAAATAGTTGCAGTTAAAGGGAAGGTACCCATGTTGCAGTTAAAGGATCTAAATAGTTGCAGTTAAAGGGAAGGTACCCATGTTGCAGTTAAAGGATCTAAATAGTTGCAGTTAAAGGGTAGGTACCCTGTACAGTAGTATAAACAATCAGGTCCCTACAGGTACAGTGTACAGTAGCATAAACAATCAAGTTCCTGTAGGTACAGTGTACAGTAGCATAATCAATCCAGTTCCTGTAGGTACAGTGTACAGTATCATAAACAATCAAGTTCCTGTAGGTACCGTGTACAGTAGCATAAACAATCAAGTTCCTGTAGGTACAGTGTACAGTATCATAAACAATCAGGTTCCTGTAGGTACAGTGTACAGTATCATAAACAATCAGGTTCCTGTAGGTACAGTGTACAGTATCATAAACAATCAGGTTCCTGTAGGTACAGTGTACAGTATCATAAACAATCAGGTTCCTGTAGGTACAGTGTACAGTAGTATAAACAATCAGGTTCCTGTAGGTACAGTGTACAGTAGTATAAACAATCAGGTTCCTGTAGGTATAGTGTACAGTAGTATAAACAATCAGGTCCCTACATGTACAGTGTACAGTAGCATAAACAATCAAGTTCCTGTAGGTACAGTGTACAGTATCATAAACAATCAAGTTCCTGTAGGTACAGTGTACAGTAGCATAATCAATCCAGTTCCTGTAGGTACAGTGTACAGTATCATAAACAATCAGGTTCCTGTAGGTACCGTGTACAATAGCCAAAACAATCAGGTTCCTTCAAGCAGTTTATTTCTAGTGTTGGTGATAAATTTGGCAATGATCATTTCCATACCACACCAAGACTTGGAAGTTATGCTTGCCTGTTTTAACAGTTATCATTTCAGTCGCCACCGAGGCAGATTTAGAACTTATGTATTGAACAGGAAAACACTATTTATGGAAACATTTTAGTTACTACGGATAATACATGAGTTTTAACAATCTGTTATTTCTGCAGGGTGACGGAGCGGCAGTGATACGATCATGGGAAGACAATCCTAGCAGTGACATTGATGCAGAGAAAAAGCCGTTCACAGTGAAAGTTGAGGTGGACCTCATGCAGGTTCTTCTGACTGTCCTGTCACTGATCTCCAGAACCTGGCGGCTGGGAGTCCCCCGTGCTGTTGTGTGAGTGTGTGATTGTTGTGTGAGTGTGTGATTGTTGTGTGTGTGTGTGTGACTGTCCTGTCACTGATCTCCAGTACCTGGTGGCTGGGAGTCCCACAGGCTGTTGTGTGAGTGTTTGACTGTTTTATGTGTTTGTATGTGATAGTTCTGTGAGTGTGTGGTTGTGGTATCTGTTTGTGTGTAAGCATGTAAATTCTGTGTGTATTTGTACATAACACTTTTGGAGATTAAGAAGATAACGGAGAGTGAAAAGAATGAGAAAGAGGAATGTAAGAAGAAAAGAAGAGTTGAGTCAAGAACCAAGTGACAGCACTCAGAACATTCCCATAAGCACTCTGTTCTTATCTTCAGCAGCCATAGAAGAGTTACAGTGCTGATGGTGCCAGAAGAAGTATGATTATATGTCCTTCTTTACTTCCCACTGTTAGTTAGTTATTTAGTCTTTCCTCTTGTGTCGAGTGCGGCACATAGGGCAGAGGTCATGACTCTCCATGCATGGCGGTTTGTTTCAATCTGTTGTAGGTCTTGGATGTTTGAGTGGCCCATGAGCGAGCCTTCCCTGATGATAGTTCTACGTAGGGTTTCCCTTGATCTTCCACAAGTACTTTTCCCCTGTGGTGTCCAAATGAGGGCTTGGTAAGGAAGTCTTGATTTATCCATTCTAAGGGCGTGACCGACATAGTTCCAGCGGCGTTTTCCTATAAAATTAGATACATACTCTTGCTTGGATTCTTGCCTTATTTGTGTATTGGTTCGGAAATCTGACCATTTGAAATTTAGTATTCTTCTAAGGCATTTATTTTCAAAACTGTCTAATTTTGTGTCTAGAGTTTTCGTTGATTTCCAGCTCTTGCATTCATAGGTTAGTACTGGAATCACACAAGAATTGAAGATCTTGAAACTTCCCACTGTATGCTGGGTATATTCCAGATTCCTTAGTAACTCCCTGTCACACCATTCTCTCCAGACCACCATGTTCTGGTCAAACTTCCACATTGCTTGCCTGGATAGTTGATAGTTGCCTGATGATGGTTCTACGTAGGGTTTCCCTTGGTCTTCCACGAGATCTTTTCCCCTGTGGTGTCCAAATGAGGGCTTGGTAACTCCCTGTGACACCATTCTCTCCAGACCATCATGTTCTGGTCAAACTTCCACATTGCTTGCCTGCTCCCTGAAGGCCTTAACTATTTCTAGCTTATCTTGTGTCCAGTGATGCAGCACCAGCTAGTCTCTTTGTCTGTTCATTTCCCAATACACCAACATACCCTGAAACAAAATATCAGAAGAACACTACCTCTCTGAAAAGGAGAGCAAAAAGTGAGAAAGTGATAAAAGGAATGACACAAAGAAAGTCCAAGGTTCAAGACCCATTGATGTTTCGGTAGTCCAGAGTAGAAGACTCATGGGGCACCTAGAAAATCCAGGGTACAGGGGGCATGCAGAAAGTTTGGTATACAAAACCCAGGAGACGCACAGTAAAGTTAAATGTACAAGACCCAGGAAATAGCCAGACAGTTACAAGACCCATGGAGCAATAAACAAAGTAACAAGACCCAGGAAATACCAGGATAGTTACAAGACCAAGTGAATTCTAGATTTACTGTACCATTATAATTAACCAACTGTCCAGATTTCCTCTACCATTATCATTAATGAAAAGCCCATAATTCCTATACCATTATAGGTAAAGAATGGTCCAGATTTACTGTACCATTATGGTTAGTGAGTAGTCCAGATTCACTAGATCTTTCTGGTTAGTGAGTAGTCCAAATTGACTAGACCATTCTGGTTAGTGAGTAGTCCAGATTTCCTAAAAACAAATCTTCCTTTTGTGACTTTAGATTTTGTTAAACATTTGCAGATTTGATGAGCTTCATTTTGCCAAGTTTGTTTCCTTGTATTTGAAGAATATCTTCTTCTTTGATGTGCACCCACCGCTGGGCAAACAGTTGCTGGCTCTCGCAGGTATAACTTGTTACTTGATTGTTGGAGTGGTTCTTTGGTTAGCTAGGATTAGCTAGGATTAGGGTTGGGGGGTGTAGGATTACAAATGATTAGGGTGTGGGGTTATATGATTCTGTGGCTTTAGGGGTATTTGATTAGATAAGATAGAACCAGGGTAAAGAAATATTAGCTCTTTTGGATGTAGGGTAAAGAAATGTTTTATCATATAGGATTAGGGTTAAAAACAATAATTTTTGGGATCATAAACATTAGAATAATATACCCTAATATATATTAGGGGGAAGAAATATGTGATCAGATAGGATTAGGGTAAATAAGTGTTTGAGTATATAAAATTAGGGTAAAGAAATGTTTATGTTTATAGGATTAGAGTAAAGAAAAATATGATCAGATATGATAAGGATAAAGAAATGTTTGAGTATATAGGATTAGGATAAAGAATTGTTTATGTATATAGGATTAGGGTAAAGAAATATGTGATCAGATAGGATTAAACATATTTGCTCTTAACTCAGGTATGTGTGTAAACATTTTTATTTTAAACTGAAGTCAGTAAAGTTGTTTATTATTTGTGCATGTTTGGAAGTTTGTAATTTTTTGTTTTGGTTTACATCGCAGGCAGGTATGCTGGTTTTGAAGGTGATATTAACTTTGAAAGAATCGGGGCAGGTAAGATTATTGTTACAGTATCATTTTTACAGTGCTACTTAATGCTGTAGACAGGAAGTTTCATTACCAGTACATCCATCACATCGTCATTGGGTCTCATTGTTTGGGTTCTGGTGTGGAACATTCTAAAGAGGATGAAAAAGAGAAGGAAGAAGAAAAGAAAAGCAGCAGAAGGTTAACGAATGAAGAAAAAAAGAATAACTGAAAAGGAAGATGAAGAAGAGAGAGGAGGCATTACAATAGAGAAGAAGAAAAGGGGGCAGAAGAAGGGGGGAAGTAAATGGAAAATAAGAGGAGAAGGAGAAACAGGGTGAAGAAGAGGAGGGGACAAAGCCGAAGATAAAAAAGGAAGATGATGATGAAAGAAGATATTGAAAGAACTAAGGAAAGAAGATGAGGAAGTAGAATGATAAAGAGCAAATATAGTAGGATGTGGTATGCTCTGACATGACATAAAAAGATGAGAATTTAAAAGATCAGATTAACTCTGTAAAATAATCAACATAAATAAAATTGCAGGTAACTTCATGTCAGATGAAATCATATCATTTCAGTTGGATAGGTGCAAGTCAAACTTTACGGGTCACTGAGTGAATTACACAAGACAGTGAAGTTCATACTAGAGACAACACTGCAGATATAGATCATCTATTCCAAGCAAACAAAATAAGAAGAAGAAGAATTCGGATATGGTAGGATAAGATAGAATAAAATTATATGAAACAAAGTCAGATTTAGTAAGATACAGTTAGAATAGTTGTCATCGTGTACATAAAACTAAATGAGATCACATAAGATATTTTAAAAAGTTAGATATAATGGAGTCAGGTGAGGTGATATCAGATCTTGTAAAGTACTGTTGGAATAGCTGAGATCATTCAGACTGGAACCGGAAAAGATCATTTGAGGCAAACTAGAACAATGTCAGACAAACCAGAAATAAATGACAGCTTCTGATTTTGTCTTTCACAGATTTCCCACCATCCGTACCTGTGGAAATGCTGCGTGCGTTCCCTGCAGTCTTGGGCAGTCTAATTGTGCCGATGGTGTATCAGATCTGTGTCGAGGCTGGACTGAGTAGATACGCTGCTGCCATCGCTGGCCTCCTTGTTGTCTTCGGTGAGATAGTTTTGACAAGTTCACCTAGTGTTGTTTTGTTAGTCATTGATCACAGCTCTTCCTCTTAGCATTCACCGGCTGTAAACTCCAGCAATATTTTCTGGTTGTTCGTCCTCTCCTGAATTTTGGTCTTATTCTAGGACATGAGTTTTGCATGCAAATCTGTTTGAGAGATGTGGCTTATTTGTATGCAGACTGTTGGTTCCTCACCTTTCACACAGATGCACTGTAACTGTGAAGGAAACGCCTTTAATTTACCACCTTTTACAGCATGCTTGTTTGGGAATGGGGGGATCGGAGTGGGTCTGTTGTTTTAATCTCCAGATTGGGATCCCAGAACCCTCATGGGCGACCTTCACAGCACAGATCAACTTACAATTGCTCCGTTCCTGTACCAGTGAGAACCACGCAAGATGTCTGTCAGTGTCCCTTGCAAAAAGTTAAACAGACGGCAGTCCTGGCAAAGCTAATAGCATGCATGAGCATTGAATGCATAAGGCAGCCTCTAGAGATGCCAAAACCAACAGTCAGTCTACTACTAGAACTACAGTTTCTCTTTGATGAGAGCAACAGTCATGACAAACCAACAGTCAGCCTACTACTAGAATTGAAGTTTCTCTTCGATGAGAGCAACAGTCATGACAAATCAACAGCTGCACATGTATTAACTACATAAGACATACTACCAGTTCTTTAACAACACCTATTTTTTTCATGTGCAGTTCAGAACACAAAATTCCTTTGTCACAAAGTGTTGTTTTTGCTGCTAGTTTTAATTTTATGACTTCTTCACTGATTAGTTTTCTGTGCTCAGCAGTCTAAAAAGAATGGGACTGCTAAAGTGTACATGATGTTTCTGTCTGTCTGCAGACAATGCATTGCTGGTGCAGTCCAGGTTTATGTTGATGGAAGGCATGTTGGTGTTCTTCTCCACGTTGTCTGTCCTTGCCTACCTCAAGTTCCGCAACTGCAGCAGGTATTGTTTGTCCATGAAGTCTTGAAATAACCAAGTGAGAATAACTAAGTTGTAGGAGCTATAAGAATAACTGAGAAGATGAAGAACTGAGAATAACAGAGTAGATGGAGCACTGAGAATAACTGAGTAGATGGAGCACTGAGAATAACTGAGTAGATGGAGCACTGAGAATAACTGAGTAGATGGAGCACTGAGAATAACAGAGTAGATGGAGCACTGAGAATAACTGAGTAGATGGAGCACTGAGAATAACAGAGTAGATGGAGCACTGAGAATAACTGAGTAGATGGAGCACTGAGAATAACTGAGTAGATGGAGCACTGAGAATAACTGAGTAGATGGAGCACTGAGAATAACAGAGTAGATGGAGCACTGAGAATAACAGAGTAGATGGAGCACTGAGAATAACTGAGTAGATGGAGCACTGAGAATAACTGAGTAGATGGAGCACTGAGAATAACAGAGTAGATGGAGCACTGAAAATAACTGAGAATAACAGAGTAGATGGAGCACTGAGAATAACAGAGTAGATGGAGCACTGAGAATAACTGAGTAGATGGAGCACTGAGAATAACTGAGTAGATGGAGCACTGAGAATAACAGAGTAGATGGAGCACTGAGAATAACTGAGTAGATGGAGCACTGAGAATAACTGAGTAGATGGAGCACTGAGAATAACTGAGTAGATGGTGGGAAAAAGTACTTGAAAGTCCTCACTGAGAATATCTGAGTAGATGGAGCACTGAGAATAACTGAGTAGATGGAGCACTGAGAATAACAGAGTAGATGGAGCACTGAGAATAACTGAGTAGATGGAGCACTGAGAATAACTGAGTAGATGGAGCACTGAGAATAACTGAGTAGATGGAGCACTGAGAATAACTGAGTAGATGGAGCACTGAGAATAACAGAGTAGATGGAGCACTGAGAATAACTGAGTAGATGGAGCACTGAGAATAACTGAGTAGATGGAGCACTGAGAATAACTGAGTAGATGGAGCACTGAGAATAACTGAGTAGATGGTGGGAAAAAGTACTTGAGAGTCCTCACTGAGAATATCCCACAAATGTTATTAAAACTCTGAAGTCACTGTGGGATTTTTCAAGCTCAGTCTTTGAAGACTACATGACATATGAATGTACGGCACATATTTCCAAGTAATAATATTAGACAGATGCATTATTTCAATAATAAAAACTACATATAATCCAACATAAAACTGGTGAAAAGATTCCACTACAAACATACTAGATTCTTGAAGAGTTTGTTCATTTTCATACAAGGATGTGAACAAGCTCATAAGCTCACAGGTAAGGCTGTTGTGGAGGGTGGATGAAACATGGACCAGGTTAATATACTGAATACTGTACGAGAAGTAAGATTTTTGTGACACAGAACTGGTATCATCAACCCCCGCACGCCACAGGATTTACTGAGGAGTGAGTTTTGAGACCGTGTGGACTGACTGATTTGCTGTGCAGTGAGGATGGTCTGGTGACGAACCCTCCGGAAAACCTTCCTATCCTGAGCAAGATGTCCTGCGTCTGATACACCCATCTGGAGATCATCTGCCACATCCTGCACCCATCTTCTCCTTGGCCTTCCTCTTCCTCTCTTCCCAGGCATATACCCCTCCATTATTGTTCTCTCTAGACTTCCATGACGTTTCAAGTGGGAAAATGTTTAGCACGATTTCACCATAGACAGTGCTAGAAAAGACTTGAGTGATTGCTCAAAAAAAAAGGTTCCGCTGCCTCTTTTGTCGTCCAGGAACTAACATTTGCTGTCTTTCTGTGATCCCACAGAGAATTTAGCTTGATGTGGTGGTTCTGGTTAGTCCTGTGTGGATTAGCAGGCACATGTACATTGAGGTAAGTCTTTCATTTTTGTGTGCCTCTAGTCGTACGTTTTTGTTTGACTCAGAAACTACCCATCAGGAGTGATCACTCCTACTTTTCCATAGCTAAACTTCAACACAGTATCATTTATCTAAGTCATTTGAAATTCCTGTGTGGGTTCTGGGTTCCCATTTTGGGGAACAAAGAATAGACCCACTCCTCCCCTAACAAGCGTGTTGTGAAAGTCGACTAATTAAGAGTGTTTCCTGTGAGGTCAGAGTGCACCTGCCTGAGAGACGAGGAACCAACAGCTGCATACAAACAAACATTTCAGATTTGTAAAACAGATGTGCACACACAACTTAAGTTCTGGAACAAGCCTAAATAAAGTCCAGAAGTGGATGAACAATCAGAACTTTCTGTTGGAGTTTACAGCCAGTGAATTTGAAGAAAAACACGGATGTAGTGTTACATGTGTCTTCTTGAATTGTCAGTCAAGTTTTATTTTGTCTCATATACTTTATTGGATTTATGTGTTTAATCTCTACCATGGTTAGCACAATAAAATTATATATTTACATAAACCGCTCTCCCCCCCCCCCCCCCCAACCCCTTCCCCCCCACCGCCAACAGCACTAAGAATAAGGCACACAACTTCTATAAAAGTTGTTTTAAGACAAAGGGAACCTTGCTGAGATGTTTCAGCCTTCAGATATTTGATTCTTTTCTTCTTCAGTATACAATTAAAAGGGCAGTTGGCTTTTTATTTTGTGGTTTACAGCTAGGCTGTGAAATCTTTTTTACCTTTCTAGCTCAGTGCATCCAGTTAAAAAAAGTTAGTTGCTTATCCTTTACAGGATGTTGCAGAACCAACCCTAGCAAGTTTTTGGCTGTTGTGGTTTTTCTAGGCAAATTTTACATTCAGTAGTTTGCCATTGCTTTCTTAACGGTCAGCTCTAGGTACCACTGTCAGAACCAATGCAGAATAAATCGACCGCAGCTGGGATCGAACCTGGCACCCCGGCATTACAAAGTGTGTTCGCAATGCCTGAGCCCCAGATGCCAACAATTTAAGCAGATCTTTAATTAGTCACTTTTTGTAGCACGCTTGTCCAGGAGCAGTGAATCTGCTCTTTGCCAAACCCCCCTCCCCCTTTCCACCCCATGATGCTCTGGAGCCTCACACTGAGAGATTTGATATCTGCATCTTAAGTTCAAGACTGAGTCATCGTATCTCTGTCTTTCTAGCAATAGTCTCACCACAACCATACCTGCTACTTGTATGCCCACCTTGATGTAATGAACACTTACAGTGTTTGATAAAAATAATGTACTAACCAGGATTTCAACAAGTTTGTAACCATGTTTGTACCTGCATTTGTAGCCATGTTTGTACCTGCATTTGTAGCCATGTTTGTACCTGCATTTGTAGCCATGTTTGTACCTGCATTTGTAACCATGTTTGTACCTGCATTTGTAACCATGTTTGTACCTGTATTTGTAACCATGTTTGTACCTGTATTTGTAACCATGTTTGTACCTGCATTTGTAACCATGTTTGTACCTGCATTTGTAGCCATGTTTGTACCTGCATTTGTAACCATGTTTGTACCTGCATTTGTAACCATGTTTGTACCTGTATTTGCAGCCATGTTTGTACCTGCATTTGTAGCCATGTTTGTACCTGCATTTGTAGCCATGTTTGTACCTGCATTTGAAGCCATGTTTGTACCTGCATTTGTAGCCATGTTTGTACCTGCATTTGTAGCCATGTTTGTACCTGCATTTGTAGCCATGTTTGTACCTGCATTTGTAGCCATGTTTGTACCTGCATTTGTAACCATGTTTGTACCTGTATTTGTAACCATGTTTGTACCTGCATTTGTAACCATGTTTGTACCTGTATTTGCAGCCATGTTTGTACCTGCATTTGTAGCCAAGTTTGTACCTGCATTTGTAGCCATGTTTGTACCTGCATTTGTAGCCATGTTTGTACCTGCATTTGTAACCATGTTTGTACCTGCATTTGTAGCCATGTTTGTACCTGCATTTGTAGCCATGTTTGTACCTGCATTTGTAGCCAAGTTTTGTTTGACAAGGCACTAATATAGTTCCCTCCCTCTCTTTAGCATCAAGTATGTGGGTGTGTTCACGATGCTGCTGGTTCTCAGCCGAATTGCACGAGATTACTGGTTCATGCTGGATGATACCTCCAAGTCAGATGTGAGTCCTCATTATCATCATCGAGTGTCTTGCTCACTGGTGTAGGCAATAAAGTTTCACATCTTGAAGTCTCCAAAACAATGTATCAAATCATGTGCTGAAAATATCCATGCCCTGCCCTGTCATAGTTTGTGTTCATTCAGTTAATTTCTTCAGAACATTTAGTTTGCTCATTTTGCTTGCACCAGGTTTCTCATAATTCTTTAAAGTCACATTTCTGTTGTTTGAAAGGAATTATTTTGAGGCTTGATTGCTAATTGTCTAGGATTAAGTCAAATGTTAAAATTTATGGTGGTAACATCGAAAAAGAATGCTTTTTTTCTAACTTCTAGTAAAAGTAAGTTATTGCATAAGGTACTTTTAATTTTATAAAATAAATACATCTCTTCATTCCCCTTTTGAAGCATAGATCCTTTAAGGTCTCAATGGCAGCATGATCAAGCTGTTTGCCTCGTGCTGTGGATGTTGTGAGTTTGTTTCACAGACATGCATTATTCAGTTCATGAATGCAAGGAGTGCAATGCTACAGAGTTCATTTTTTGTGTCGTGCTCTTAGCAGGCTGCTAGCCATTCTGCAGACCAATATGAACCACATGTTATAAAGGCTAGTATAGTCAGAATAATCCTCTTGATTTTAAAGATAACCCTCAGGATAAATCCTCAGCCAGCTTGTGTTAGATATATCCATCAGTTTCTATCTCCATGCCCTCCCCATATAATTCATTTCTGTTTCCAGAGTGGGCTCCATTGTGGGGAAAACAAGAATAGACATAACAGAAGGGCAGAAGCTGAGACTGTGCTTGATCAGTGGCGACCACATAACTCCAGTCGTATCTGCATTATATGTTTTTATAACTGTTGTTGTTGTTTGTCTTTCACCAGTGATGAAGACCACTTTCATCCAAAGTGATGATGATAGCTGGATGAAAGTGACTTGTGCAAGGACTTGAATTTAAGTGAGAAAGAGTTTTTATGACTACTCATTATGTATCCCTACAGGTGACCTTGGTGAAGCACCTGTTTGCTCGGTTCATTGCCATGGTAACCATACCTGTCCTGGCCTACCTGTTCATTTTCTACATCCACCTGAGGATCTTAAACAAGGCCGGGCCGCATGATAATGTGATGACCAGTGCTTTCCAGGCCAGTCTGGAGGTGAGTGTCCATGTTTATATATAACTACAAAGGGAGCTGGAACTCACCACAAAGTGTCGATTACAGTAGAGCTGGAAAAAAAGTCTACTAATGCTGCATCACTTTACGAACGCCAGAAAAAACCCTCAGTACAGATAAAGGTAGTCACAGAACTGATGCTTCATTGAGATATGAAGTTCCAGAAAACAAAATATTTAAGCGACCAAGTTCCTTTATCACCACTTTTCCTTCTCAGGAAGTTCTTACACCCATTTGGCCTCCGGATCCCCATTTTGAGTGGAATAAGTATAAAGCCACTATCATCCCTCCCCCCTTTCCCCCTCACCCCAACAAGCATGTCATAATTAAATAATTAGTAACTAATTAGAGCGTTCATTCTAATGTTGAGTGCATCTGCCTGAGACCAAAGGAACCAACAGTCAGCATGCAGATAAACTAGATCTGTAAAATAGGTGTGAATGCAAAACTCAGTTCTGCAACAAGACTAATGACCAGAAGTGAATAAAAAAACCAGATCTGTAGAATGGATGTGAATGCAAAACTCAGTTCTGCAACAATATTAAAGACCAAAAGTAAACAAACAAACCTAACTTTTTGCTGGAGTTTTAATGCTCACTAACTATTTTTGCTCATCCGTTACAAATAATAATCAAAATAAAGACACTAATCATTTAACAAACAAACAAAATAGTCATTGATCAATGATTTTGAGTGAGAAGCCTGGGAAGTTTTTGAGCACTGCGTACAACAGATGGAAGTGGAAGTAAAGTTGGGATTTTCCACATGGTTATTTGTAGCTGGTCTCGGTTTCTCTGCCAGTGCGACCTCTGCTGCCTGGCAGGCTGGTGCACCATGTTTGATTACTGTAAGCTATCCATATTGGTCTTGTGCAGCAACCTTCTCATTTTCTGTATTACTGCCAAAATAATTTAGAGCAGTTTTAAAAGCATCCTTATAGCATTTTTTAAGTCCTCCAGGGAGTCTTTTCTCATGCTCGTGTTTGCCATAATGGATGCTGATGATCTGGCATACAAACTGTCATGCTACTACTACTGCTGCTATCCTTGGCTAAACTAGGGGAAAACTTTTAGTTTTATTAGTCCATCTGTCGCATGCGGATATGCACTAGAACGCACCAGTACTGAGTGAGCAAATAGGACGTCAAAACAATACGTAATGTTGTTAAGGTATTGTATTCTAGGAGATCGAAGTTTGACCAAGGCAGACTTGTGGTCCGGCCTTGGTGTGGATCCTCGAGGATGCACTAACCCGGGATGCCACAGAAAGATTCGGTGTATAAAGTCTGAAGGAGACAGACGTGTGGTCATGTCTCAGTGGATCCTTGAAGACGCTCTACCCCAGGACTCCACTAGAAACCTCAGCTCAAAGCTGGTACATTGTCTGTTGCGCTCGGCAGGAAGCCTGTAAACTTTAAGGAGGGATTCTCCAGGCCGAATCATTAAAGAGGGACATTGCCCTGTTCAGACTGCAGAAGAGGAGATCGATGTGACTGTCCGGACTTCCAAGGTCTGACTGTTGACCTGTCATTTGAATTTATCCATCAGGTTGTACCAGCGGTTGCTTGTGTTGGCGTGTTTGGGTGAGTCTTCACCAAGAGTCGTGTTATTTGCAAATGTTTTCACTGATCAAGTTGTCAACAAATACACCAATTACTTATTCCCCTAGTCTTCAGCGTTAACTGTGTTTGGAAGTATTGAAGTTCAGACCACACTTGGCTGATGGCATTGTATTCTAAATCAAGACGTATTCGTTTGTACCTGATTACACATTTCAACGGGGACGTACGCTTCTCAACAAGCCGTCACACATCACACCATCTTAACTTATTTCCTTGTCTTATGTCCAGGGAGGACTAGCTACATTGACCAAAGGTCAGCCCTTGAATGTGGCGTATGGCTCACAGATCACCCTGCGACACGTGGAGAATGTTGGGATAGGCCAGCCCTGCTGGTTACACTCTCACGCACACATGTACCCGATCAAGTACCTGGACAAGCGGGGCAGCTCACACCAGCAACAGGTGACCTGCTACATCTTCAAGGACATCAATAACTGGTGGATCATCAAACGGCCTGACCGGTGAGTCTGCTAGTTTTTTTTTACATACTCATCACCATCCTGTGCCTTGTAAAATACAGTGGACTCCAGGTCTCTCCATAGATCTGTCCTTAGTGTTCTGGGTTAACTCCATTGCTCTCACTGAGATGGCATTTGCAACATTGATCTCTTTCCATAGCAAATGAGGTTGTACTTAGTCAATAACCCTTTCATTCCAGAAACGTTAAAAAAATAAGTTGGAATTCCTCCTCTCCCCCCCCCCCCCCCCCCCCCCCCAATTAAAAAAAAACAGCATTTGACACATATCACTAATGTATTTAAAAAAAATATTTATATTCACTAATAACATTTTTTTTTACAATCAGTTTTCCGACCGAGACTACGACAAGTCCTAGTGCTCGGTCGTCCCCGGGGGAGGGGGGAAAAGCTGTCGCGTGCGGATGTGCACCAGAACGCGCCAGTACTGAGTGAGCAAATAAGACGTCAAAACAATACGTAACGTTGTGAAGGTATTGTTGTCAAAGGCAGTGGATGTTTACAGTCCGAAGGAGACGGACGTGTGGATCCTTGAGGACGCTTTACCCCGGGATCCCACGGAAGCAAACGTTGTATACAGTTGGATCCTTGAGGACGTTTTACCCCGGGACTCCAATATAGACCTCAGCAGGAAGCTGGTAAATTGTCACAGTTCAGCAGTAAGCCGGTATACTTTCGTTACTTAATTCAGATTACTGTCTGGATCTCAAGGTCAGACTGCGACCTATCGTGAGGACATATCAGTCCATGGATGTACGAGCGAGCTTTTGTTGATGTGCTTGAATGAGATTGGATTATATTATTAATTGCATATTTTCTCCTTGTGTTGATCATCGATATTGTCAATACACAAATGGAACTTTTAAAAAGAGTTCTCGTTCTGCTACGTTTGGAAGCTTCAACATTCATCATGTTATGTTACACTTGGCCAGTGGCATGTTAAGTGTTGATGCCATTTGTTACATTGCGACACCCCCTGGTCATTTTGGTACGCCGCACATCACCACGCCAAGCTTACGCTCGTCACAATCAAACATACGCACGTCACACTGGGTAGGAACCTATAAGTGTATGATGCTTTCCCTGGACTGAAAGAGTTAACCAATAAATAACCACCAGTTTGGTATTTTAACCAGTAAATAACCGTGTGTAAGGTATTTTAATCAGTAAATAACCTTGTGTTGGGTATTGTGATCAGTAAATAACCTTGTTGTGGGTACTTTAATAAGTAAATAACCTTGTTGTGGGTACTGTAATCAGTAAATAACCTTGTTGTGGGTACTGTAATCAGTTAATAACCTTGTTGTGGGTATTGTAATCAGTAAATAACCTTGTTGTGGGTATTGTAATCAGTAAATAACCTTGTGTTGGGTATTGTGATCAGTAAATAACCTTTTTGTGGGTACTGTAATCAGTAAATAACCGTTTGTTGATATTATCCAAATGCATAAGGGCATCCTTATAATCACAACTGGAAATGTTGGCTCACTGAGCATGAGATGTATTAAGAGACTGAACACCTGTGGGTTTGCCTGGAGTGTAGTGAATTTACTTGTGTTTAACAAATAGTCCTTCATCGTGAACTTTAACAAAAAATGTATTATGAAGATGTCAGCTTTTTATTGAAGTGAACATTGTGACACCATACCATACAAAGCATACATGGAAAGAGAAGAAGGACGTAGAGCACGGGGTAGACCAAGAACAAGATGGAAGGATAACATCAGAGAAACTCTACAACAGCACGATGTGCCTATGGTCGAGGCAGCCAGAAGAGCTAGAAACAGAACCTTATATCTCCCTCGACACCCACAGCGGTAAAAGAGGAAGTGAAGAAGAAGAAGAAGAAGAAGAACATTTATATGTTGTCTGATGAAGTGAACATTTATATGTTGTCTGTTAAGGTGAACATTTATATGTTGTCTGTTGAAGTGAACATGTATATTTTGTCTGTTGAAGTGAACATTTGTGTGTTGTCTATTGAAGTGAACATTTAAATGTTGTCTGTTGAAGTGAACATTTATATGTTGTCTGTTGAAGTAAACATTTATATGTTGTCTGTTGAAGTGAACATTTATATGATGATTGTTGGAGTGAACATGTATATTTTGTCTGTTGAAGTGAACATTTGTGTGTCGTCTGTTGAAGTGAACATTTATATGTTGTCTGTTGAAGGCAAGAACTTATGGTTGAAAATCCTCCAGTCCTTGTCAAGCATGGGGATATCATACAGCTTGTACATGGTGTTACTAGCAGAGCTCTCAACACGTAAGTATCTGTACACACTGATCATGTGTCCTATACCTGAAGTTTCATGTTTTCAGATGACTCATATTTACAGACGTATCACATACACATGTTTGCATAATTTTACAATCACATACATATGTTTGCATATTGTTACAATCACATACACATGTTTGCATATTGTTACAGCCACATACACATGTTTGCATATTGTTACAATCACATACACATGTTTGCATATTGTTACAATCACATACACATGTTTGCATATTGCTTCAGTCACATACACATGTTTGCATATTGTTACAGTCACATACACATGTTTGCATATTGTTACAATCACATACACACGTTTGCATATTGTTACAATCACATACACATGTTTGCAAATTGTTACAGTCACATACACATGTTTGCATTTTGTTACAATCACATACACATGTTTGCATATTGTTACAGTCACATACACATGTTTGCATATTGTTACAGTCACAGTTTGAGGGTTCTCATGTGGGGTACCCAGGTTCAGATCTTCTGTAAATGCAAATATAAAACTATAACCTGCACAGTCTGTGGAGACTGCACCAGTCGTACGGCCATAAATATGGGCTCAGGCTAAAAGCTCCCCCTGCCTACGCTGCAGAAGTGGTAAATGCAGGCAGTTTTAACATACAGTTTCACATTGTCAGAGATCTATATGTTATGTAGTGTCAAATTATTTCAGACTTGCATCATATATATGTGGTTTCTATTTGTCATATACCTTGAAGTATACATCGTCATCATCAGTTGCCTTGCTAGTTGGAATGGACAATTATACTTCTCCACCTGTTGTGATCTTTAACAGTCTACATCAGTCCATGCCATGACTGCAGTCTGTCAAGACTCTTCTCTCGATTCAAGACATCTCAGTTTGTTTTCCAGACCCTGTTGCTTAGCTCTTTAAAGGATGTGTTTCGGATTAGGAACAAGCATTTACTTGCGAATCTTTCAGGCTAATCTGTGCCATCATCTTCAAAAGATGTGACATGGTATAGACTGGCAAAACCAACAGAAAGTTTGCAGATTATGTCCATGAGCATCGTTTTTGAAATCAGTAAGGAAGCTCCCCAACTAGTCTTTCTTCATTGTAACAACCCTGACCACCTGGGTGAAGCAGCCATGTCTGCCTCCATGATTGAACCTCTACAGTTTCCAATCTGGGGTTTCAGGGTCCCATTTGGGTAAAACTATAGACCCACTGCCTCTCCCCCCCTCCCCTCCCCCCCCCCAAAGGCATGTTATTTGAGTCAGATAATTTGGGGCTTCCTTCAAAGTGGAAGTGCATCTGTCTGAGAGGCAAGGAGCCAACAGTCTGCATACAAATAAGTTGGATTTGTAAAATGGATGCACATGCAACACCCAGTCCTATAAGTAGATGAACAACCATAACTTTTTGCTGGACTTATCAGCCGTTGAATGTAAAGAAGAACCCTCTACACTGACTGACTACATTATCAGCCTTTCTTCACAAAAATCATCTAATTCTTAGTTAAATTCACTTCATTTCAGTAATTGTTATCTGTATCAACATCCTAGCACCTCAGTTCGACCTATTTGTGCTTCCTCTGGTGCAGCAGCCATCTCAGTGTCTCCATGTTCAATTACACAGTATACGTTGATTGGCATATCTTCTTTCTTGGCCCCACCACCAGTTTTTGCACGTTTGTCCTCGTTTAAGTCCCATTTCCAACAGGCAGCTCATCATCTCTAACTCTTTTCTCAGCGTCTCTGCCCGTCCTATCCAAACTTCTTTCTCTACAAACCACTGCAGATATGGCCGGTCTGTCAGATCTTAGCCCAGCATACTTTAGATCTTTTCTGCAGGCCATACCAGCGTTGTGGGTAATGAACAGGCAGACAGATTGGCTGGATCTTCGCCACTGGGTGGGGAATTAATACATGACAAGGCAGATGTGGTCAAGGCCCTTTGGGAACAAGCAACGGAATCAGTAGAGATAGTAGATTATTATGGACTGGAGAGAATGAGGCATCTGGGTGTAACCTGAGGGTCTGGCCGGCACACTGCCCTTAGAGGAAAGGCAAGACTATCAGTATTGGAACTCTGCGCTAGCTGCTGGAGATGAAGACGGATCATACATGGGAATGCCCCGACTGCTGTGATATCAATTCTCAACTCAGCTCAACAACTATCCCAGCAGGAATCCGTATTTTCAATATTCATTCATCCAGTCAAGATATATTTAATTTGTAGATATCTATTTGTATTTTTTTTTTTTAAATAATTATCCCTGGACCAAGAAATCAACATCAGGATAAGTAGGGCAGCAACAACAATGAGCAGATTAACAAAAGAGTTTGGTAGAACAGAAGGCTGATGATTAAAACAAAAAACTCTTGTCTATCAGGCTTGTGTTCTCAGCCCTCTGCTTTGTGGCAGTGAAACTTGGTCAGCTTATTCACACCAGGAGAAACGGTTGAATAGATAGCTTTCACATGCGATGCCTAAACAAAATAATCTGCATTAAGTGGCAAGACAAGATCACAAGCACTGAGGTATTGGAAAGAACAGGCACTACAACAGTCTTCTCAATGCTCAGTCTACAAAGGCTCAGCTGGCTGGGTCACACCTGAAGAATGGAGGATGGTAGAGTCCCCAAGGACATCCTCTCTGGTGAATGGCAGACGGGTAGAAGATGTCGTAGCCGACCTTTACTATGGTATAAAGATGTGAAGAAAATAAAAGAAAAAATAAAAGGAAGATGAAGACAGGAGATTAGAAAGTCCTCCTCTTCTTCTTCACATTCTCTGGCTATAAACTCCGGTGTAAAGTTCACTTCCGGCTTTTAGTCAGATGTGGATTATTTGTATGCAGACTCTTGGTTCCTGGCCTCAGGCAGATGTACTCTGACTTTGAAGGATACCCCCCTCCCTCCCTACCATTAGTCGGCTCCTACGACTTGCTTGTTGGGAAGGCAGTGGAGTCTATTCTTGTTAACCCCACAATGAGGACCCAGAACCCAGATGGGGACTCATGTTTGTTGAGAGTTAATAAGGGTTGACACGTATTCTCTTCCTTCTTCAGACATGATGTAGCTGCCCCGATGACACCCAGCAACCAAGAAGTGTCTTGTTACATCAATTACAACGTATCCATGCCAGCACAGAACTTGTGGAGAGTTGTAAGTTTGTAGCTTGTCTCTGTTCAGTCTAACACACTGCATCACCACACATACCAGCACAGAACTTGTGGAGAGTTGTAAGTTTGTAGCTTGTCTCTGTTCAGTCTAACACACTGCATCACCACACATACCAGCACAGAACTTGTGGAGAGTTGTAAGTCTGTAGATTGTCTCTGTTCAGTCTAACACACTGCATCACCACACATGGGAGCACAGAACTTGTGGAGAGTTGTAAGTCTGTAGCTTGTCTCTATTCAGTCTAACACACTGCATCACCCAACATGGGAGCACAGAACTTGTGGAGAGTTGTAAGTCTGTAGCTTGTCTCTATTCAGTCTAACACACTGCATCACCAAACATGGGAGCACAGAACTTGTGGAGAGTTGTAAGTCTGTAGCTTGTCTCTGTTCAGTCTAACACACTGCATCACCCAACATGCCAGGTCAGAACTTGTGGAGAATTGTAAGTCTGAAGATTGTCTCTGTTCAGTCTAACACACTGCATCACCACACATACCAGCACAGAACTTGTGGAGAGTTGTAAGTCTGTAGCTTGTCTCTGTTCAGTCTAACACACTGCATCACCACACATGGGAGCACAGAACTTGTGGAGAGTTGTAAGTCTGTAGATTGTCTTTTTTCAGTCTAACACACTGCGTCACCACACATGCCAGGTCAGAACTTGTGGAGAGTTGTAAGTCCTACCTTTTGATGGTAATTTTCTTTTTTTTTTTTAATTCAGTTACTGCTGCCTGTTGCAATATATTTGAAATACAGTGATCTTTGTAAATCAAAAGTGTCATTTTGCAATTAAAAAACTTTCAGATCATTCCCCCCCCCCTCCACCCCCGCCCAAAACTATATACCCCCTCCCCCCAACCCCTGCCCTCTCTCTACAAATATTTCAGCAGCCTTATAATAGGAAATTAATGTCAGAATCTTAACTTTCATTAAGTTTTTTGTGCTTCTTTATTTCAAAATATTCAATGAAAATGTTTCTATATTTGTTTCGCTAAGTTTATTTTGCTGTCTTATTTCAGGAAAGTTCATGAAACAAATCTCTGTGTAAGTGTCATTACATTTTTGAGTCTCCAGATTTAGGATAAAAATGAACCTTCTTGTTCTGCTTTCAGGAAATTGTTAACAGAGAGAGTGATAATGACAACTGGCAGACGATAAAAAGTCAAGTGCGGCTTATCCACGTGAATACATCCACAGCACTCAAGGTAATGTTCAGTGTGGATCATTAATAGCAGCATGAGACTAAGCACCTGTAGAATTTTACCAAGAGAAGCTTTAGAAAAACAGGTCATCAGTTTCAATTGTGTTGTTATTATTTCCTTTCATATCTGTATTTTTTTGTCTAGATCTTAGAAAGAGAAGTAGAAAACATCCTTTATGACTATTTTTTTTTTTTTTGTTACCTGATGAAAAAATATTCTTGTATTAAAGAATATGATTTTTACTTGCTAAAGCCTTTTATTCTAGATTCTACCTAATTAGAAAGCAATCTGCTTTTTGTCTTTCCTACAGGATTTTGTGTGATTTCCATGTTTAAACATGTTTTACTGCAGTTGCATTCATATTCACTTGTTTTTATTTATATTTGTTTACTGGTGGACCATGATATTACCTTCCAGTGAGTTAGTTTATGAGTTGGTGTTGTTTACAGCATGTTTTGAAATTCTGAATGGAAAAATTAGATTTTTTTATTTAATTTGGAGTGGAGGAGAAATAACAAAGAGATAAAACAACAAATGAATTTAAACATCTAGAGTCAGTTGTCACATGAGAAGGGAGAATGGATATAGAAAGTTACGCATGATATACTGACGCAGATCATTTCAGCTCAGAATTTCTTCCTTAATAACTGCGATTAGTCCACAACTGGCATCCATGTGTATAAACTAGACATACATTTTATTAAAGAGCAACAAATTAGATGGTTTGGCTTTCTGATGAAAACGCCCTGGCACCAACCGCCACATTGAAGAAATATAACAGACACAAAGGAAGGGGAAGACCACGACAAAGATTAAATGATGACAACAATAACAGCCTTAGAGAAGTGAAAACTATACAATGTATTGAAAAGTGCACTCACAAGATCCTTACATCTTCTTTAACACTTTGGTGACTGTCATAAATGAAGAAAGAGATGAAGATGGAATGGAAGAGTTACATGTTCAGAAGTTTGAAATGGAAGGACAACATATCAACAAGTTTAGAACGAAGAAGTGGCATATCAAGAAGTGAAGAAATGTGGATGGAAGACAGGCAGACGGCATTGGCAACCTGCCAACATCGCATACACATAATTACAAATAGACAGAACATTGTTCAATAGTATGACTAGATGATGTGACACGAGACATTTGTGAAGTTGGTCGTGATCTGCCAGGCCATGTTCAGTTGACTGGCTGAGATGTATTCCTTGGAACCTACAGTCCATACTGTATACCAGTTTTCTTTGACACTACCTGTAGCTGACACCTCCATCTATTTTTGTTTCTTTCCAGACAACAGGAAAGCAGTTACCTGAGTGGGGCTTCCACCAGTTGGAGGTGGCAGCAGACAGGCAGATCAACCAGAAGTCTGCAGTCTGGAATGTGGAGGAGCACCGATACACTAGAAGTTGGTTCCTTGTCTATATTCCTTGTATAATATTATATATTTCTTGTCTGTATTTCTTAGATTAGATAATAAATTTCTTGTTTGTATTACTTAGATTGTAAATTGCTCATCTCTATTTCTTGCATAAGATTAAATATTTCTTGTGTATTTTCTATATTAATCACCTGCTTACACAAGTTTTGTGGAATTTGCCATTTTCAGTGTTGCCTTTGTTACATAATGTTCATTAGTTTTTTAACATTAAACAGATCATTCTCATGTCTTTCAGACAGTAGTACGAGAGTCGCACCATGGAAGATTTAGGAGCCTCAGCACATAATATTCCCAAAGATTGCATTCTAAAGTTGAGGGTTTTTTTTGGGTGTGTTTTTGGTAAATGATATATTGGACCCCTTGAATTTGTTCCTCGGTAGCTCTGATGATCATCACTGCCTGCTGTAGGCATCTACATTGGTTGGCAATCTGCCTCAACAGATATCAGACAATATGTACCGCTGCTTGTCCCTGTAGTACACTAGTTTCTCTACCATGCTGTCTGCCCACCCCTTCAGCGTGCATTGATCTGAAAACATGTCTTTCACATTTGTCTAGGTTCCGAGAAAGAGAGCCAGGCAGCAGATCTCCAACAAGCAGAACTCATCCCTCTGAAGCCGACCTACCTGTCATTCTGGGCCAAGTTTTCCGAGCTGCAGGTGTTGTATTATTTCATGCTATGTTGTAGGTGCTGTATTATTTCATGCTATGCTGTAGGTACTGTATTATTTCATGCTATGCTGTAGGTGTTGTATTATTTCATGCTATGCTGTAGGTGTTGTATTATTTCATGCTATGCTGCAGGTGTTGTATTATTTCATGCTATGCTGCAGATGTTGTATTATTTCATGCTATGCTGCAGGTGTTGTATTATTTCATGCTATGCTGCAGGTGTTGTATTATTTCATGCTATGCTGCAGATGTTGTATTATTTCATGCTATGCTGTAGGTGTTGTATTATTTCATGCTATGCTGCAGGTGTTGTATTATTTCATGCTATGCTGCAGGTGTTGTATTATTTCATGCTATGTTGCAGGTGCTGTATTATTTCATGCTATGCTGCAGGTGTTGTATTATTTCATGCTGTGCTGCAGGTGCTGTATTATTTCATGCTATGCTGTAGGTGCTGTATTATTTCATGCTGTGCTGCAGGTGTTGTATTATTTCATGCTATGCTGTAGGTGTTGTATTATTTCATGCTATGCTGTAGATGTTGTATTATTTCATACTATGCTGCAGATGTTGTATTATTTCATGCTATGCTGCAGATGTATTATTTCATGCTATGCTGCAGGTGCTGTATTATTTCATGCTATGCTGTAGGTGCTGTATTATTTCATGCTGTGCTGCAGGTGTTGTATTATTTCATGCTATGCTGTAGGTGTTGTATTATTTCATGCTATGCTGTAGGTGTTGTATTATTTCATGCTATGCTGTAGGTGTTGTATTATTTCATGCTATGCTGTAGGTGTTGTATTATTTCATGCTATGCTGCAGGTGTTGTATTATTTCATGCTATGCTGCAGGTGCTGTATTATTTCATGCTATGCTGCAGATGTTGTATTTTTTCATGCTATGCTGCAGATGTTGTATTATTTCATGCTATGCTGCAGGTGTTGTATTATTTCATGCTATGCTGCAGGTGTTGTATTATTTCATGCTATGTTGCAGGTGCTGTATTATTTCATGCTATGCTGTAGGTGTTGTATTATTTCATGCTGTGCTGCAGGTGCTGTATTATTTCATGCTATGCTGCAGGTGTTGTATTATTTCATGCTATGCTATAGGTGTTGTATTATTTCATGCTATGCTGTAGGTGTTGTATTATTTCATGCTATGCTGCAGATGTTGTATTATTTCATGCTATGCTGCAGATGTTGTATTATTTCATGCTATGCTGCAGATGTTGTATTATTTCATGCTATGCTGTAGGTGTTGTATTATTTCATGCTATGCTGCAGGTGTTGTATTATTTCATGCTATGCTGCAGATGTTGTATTATTTCATGCTATGCTGCAGATGTTGTATTATTTCATGCTATGCTGCAGGTGTTGTATTATTTCATGCTATGCTGCAGGTGTTGTATTATTTCATGCTATGCTGTAGGTGTTGTATTATTTCATGCTATGCTGCAGGTGTTGTATTATTTCATGCTATGCTGCAGATGTTGTATTATTTCATGCTATGCTGTAGGTGCTGTATTATTTCATGCTATGCTGCAGATGTTGTATTATTTCATGCTATGCTGCAGATGTTGTATCATTTCATGCTATGCTGCAGATGTTGTATTATTTCATGCTATGCTGCAGATGTTGTATTATTTCATGCTATGCTGCAGATGTTGTATTATTTCATGCTATGCTGTAGGTGCTGTATTATTTCATGCTGTGCTGTAGGTGCTGTATTATTTCATGCTATGCTGCAGATGTTGTATTATTTCATTCTATGCTGCAGATGTTGTATTATTTCATTCTATGCTGCAGATGTTGTATTATTTCATGCTATGCTGACGGTTTACATTTGGGTCCCCTCCCCCTCCTCCTTTTCCTCCTCCTCCATTTATTACTGCTTCTCCTCTGTGCCCTCCTTTTTTGTGTGTTTCTTTATACATGATTTCATACACCATTACATTCTTGCTTATAAACTTGTGTGTTTAGTAGTAGTTAGTCATTAGAAATGGCACCTGGAAGAAAACAATTTTTAGCCTGGAATTAAATGGGGAAGAGACTAAAGTAAGACTAATAATCCAGCTGGTACACCTACACCTGTGTAAGTCAAAGGTCACACATTAGAACAAGTCAGTTATTTCAAATATTTAGGATCCATTTTAAGTGACCTAGGATCCAGACCAGAAATCATGTCTAGGATTGCCTAGACACCATCAGTCCTTGCCAAACAGCAAATATTATAGTGACCCCAATAATGTTTCATTTAAAACTAAGCTTTGACTGCTAAGAGAACTAGCTATTAGTACTTATGGCTGTGAAATGGGGAACTTAACAGATGAACCCCCTACACACACACACACACGCATGCACACACACTCGTGCACGCTCACACACACAATACTAGCATTGGAAACGTGATCTTTCCAAAAAATTCTTGGCATAACATACAGAGAGCACATCACAAATGACGAGGTTAGCTGTATAATTACCCAGCATATTGTCAGCCATGAACCAATTTAAACTACAGTGAAACAGGGAAAATGCAATGGGATGTAGTAGGACCTGACCTCTCAGAAACAATACTGCAGGCCTCAGTTGAGGAGAAGAGGAGAAGAGGCAGACCAAGAGAGACCCGAATAGAGTAGATGACTGACTGGACAGGCCTCAGGCATGCAGCCATGAAGTCATTCACATCTGACTGCTAAATGTGGAGGGAGCTGATCAGTCAATCAACAGAAGCTGGTGACCCAACAACGCGTAGTGTACAGAATGACGACTGAGTAGTTGGACACATCTGAGAACACCAGGAACAATAACTGAAGAGTTGAAGTGGCACAGAGTGCCTGTTGGTCTGGTGTTTGAGTCCTCATTAAGGCTAGAATTGTATTTAATTTATCTGTGCGCCTTACAAATGGCTACCAGGAAATATTCTGAGAATTAAAGACAGCTATGAATAAAATTTAAAAAAAAAGGTCTTGTTACACGTCAGGGGCACATAGGTTTCGGCCTCCAGTGGATGATGTTGTCAACATCATGCTGGCCACCTTTACTTCCCAGGACTCTACCTGGTTCCCTTTTAAGACTGGGTCGACCTGGAGGCCGAGGTCATGTTTGAAACAAATCCTATATGGATTTGAACCCATGACCTTCGATTACGCTGGCGAGCATCTAGTACTATGTACACAGTATAATACCGTAGCTTCCCGGTCGATCAGCCTCAATTAGATAAATAGAAATGTCATAGGAAGTAAAGATGGTCAGCAATGTGTTAGCTACCTCACCACGGGCAACCTTTGAGGGCTGAATAATCTTGACAAATGTGACTCTAGCATTGTATGCTCACCGTGCCACTGGCCTGGGAAGGGATTCTTTTTATTTTTTTATTGTAATAATAAACAAGAACAGATAACTACTAAATGAGACCCAAGTTACACAAATTAAAGCCCTTGAGCAAATGAAACAGACATCAGACCTGATTCTGAAAACGATAACAGAAAGAAAAAAAGCCTGAAGGCAAGTGTGTGAGAAGAAGATGGCAGTTTAAATGGAAAGATATCTTTAAGCAGTGGACATAATAGAGTAAGTGTGCAAAACCTTCAGCCTATAACTATATAAGGCCTGCATAATCATTTAATCGAGCTCACCAAGGTAATCAGGATTAAATATTGGACCGAAGGTAGTAGGGTAAACTTGAATCTGATTATTGTGTTTGGTCCATGGGTGACATAAAAAATATACAAGGAAAAAGGAGTTCCTGCCCCTGGGGATAGAGGTTTCTAGAAATGCCAGCATGATAGGTTAACACAACAACCTTGACATTCCTTGTAGCTGACCTCAAGGTGACAATTTAGTTAGGTAGTTAGTTGGGATATGATCATTGCACTCCGGACATGTCCAAAGGTGCTCAGATCCTCCTCTCAATGTGAACCCCAACATCCTGTGACTAATAATGCCAGTTCTTTGCTGATTGATAAGTCTTTTTGTATAAAGGTGACAAGTGGTGTGATCTGTATGTTCTAATGACAACCGGAGAAGACTAGGGCTCCACTGTTGATTGTGTAACTTTTCTAATCTCCTCAGATGAAGATGCTGACAAGTAATCTCGATGCAAAGCTTGAACACAAATATAGCTCCGGCCCAAAAGACTGGCCATTGATGAAGAGAAATATTGCCTACTGGATGAGCCCAACAGACAATGTGAGAAAATTTTATTATTTTCCATTACCTCATTCATAAGAGAGAGAGAGAGAGAGAGAGAGAGAGAGAGAGAGAGAGAGAGAGAGAGAGAGAGAGAGAGAGAGAGAGAGCATGCATTTGTCAAGGAAATGTGTGTTGAGGTGGGGAGGGAGTGGGTGTTGTATTTTACTTTGAGTCTGTAACTTGTATTTTCCTGGCAACATCAGATATGCATTTTTGTTCTCCTGTGTAGTTGTATAAATCTATTTTGCCTTAGCTATTGCTTTGTCAGATAAGTACCATCACCACATTGTGTAATTATATAAATCCATCTTGCCTTAACTATTACTTTGTCAGATCAAGTACCATCACCACATTGTGTAATTATATAAATCCATCTTGCCTTAACTATTACTTTGTCAGATCAAGTACCATCACCACATTGTGTAATTATATAAATCCATCTTGCCTTAACTAATACTTTGTCAGATAAGTACCATCACCACATTGTGCTGTTCTCCTGTGTAGTTATATAAATCCATCTTGCCTTAACTATTGCTTTGTCAGATCAAGTACCATCACCACATTGTGCTGTTCTCCTGTGTAGTTATATAAATCCATCTTGCCTTAACTATTACTTTGTCAGATCAAGTACCATCACCACATTGTGCTGTTCTCCTGTGTAGTTATATAAATCCATTTTGCCTTAACTATTACTTTGTCAGATCAAGTACCATCACCACATTGTGCTGTTCTCCTGTGTAGTTATATAAATCCATCTTGCCTTAACTATTACTTTGTCAGATCAAGTACCATCACCACATTGTGCTGTTCTCCTGTGTAGTTATATAAATCCATTTTGCCTTAGCTATTGCTTTGTCAGATCAAGTACCATCACCACATTGTGCTGTTCTTTAACATTGTCTGTCTTGCGACTTCATAATGTATTCATGTAGGTTTCCAATCCAGCTCTAGATGTTGTCTACCCACTTTTCATGTTGTATTACTCTTGTGTGCTTCCTCTGCATATTTTTCTTTAACAAGTATCTATTTGGATGGCTTTAGTCTGAATCCTTCATGAGAAGATAGACATTTGCTCGTATGAAATGATGGCTGAATCAGAAAACACCCCCCTTTCCACAACAACAAAACGCTAGTGAAAAAAGATTTTACCAGAGGAGGACACTACATGGGAAGAAAAAAAATTATATAAAAATAAAAAGCCAATACAAAATGGGTGTCAGCAGCCACTCATGAAGGAAGGGATCTGAGATGGACTCAATGGCTTGGTGTGCGGTGAGGGTGATCCGTCAGCTAACTAACTTAATTAAGTTACTTTGATCTCATTGATTGTTGACTTGCATCATTATCTCTCATCTGGAACCAGTCTCAGATTCACCTGCTAGGAAACATCGTAGTCTGGTACGCATCAACTGCAGCAGTCGTGACCTACTTATGTCTGGGTGTTTTCTACATGCTGCGCAGACAGCGTGCCATCTATGACATTTCAGAAGGTGATGTTGCTTGTTGTTTGTTTGAGTTATTGACACAATTTTCAGTGTAGTTATATAATATTGACTACACAGGGGCCATTACTCCAGGGCTATTCAACTAAGTTAAATCAGAGGCCAAAAATGTTGAAAATGGGGAGCGTCACATGCAAAGACAAAATGTTGAAAATGGGGAGCTTCACTTGCTGGGCCAAAATGTTAAAAATGGGGAGTCACAGGTCAGAGGCCAAAGCCGCAGCATAGAGAGATCATTAATACCATACAATTGGCAGGTGATCCGCAGGCCACTTGCAAGGCCTCCACCGGCCACCAGCTGAATAGCCCTGGGCTACAGCTGTAAAAGGAGGACTACAACTTTATAAAATAGTCTTTAGATATGTAAAGTATGCTACAGCAGTAATAAGTCATGTAGTGCTAGACACACTCAGCTACACTTATAGAATGTACTCTGTGTCTCCATGGCAAAGTGGTCAGGCTGTTTGCCTCACACTTTGGAGGTCATGAGTTCATTTCACTGTTGGATTCACAAGTGCCAGTTTTTATGCAGATCCTGGGGATCATTACTGAAGCTATGGAATTCATGCATTGTGTGACGATTTTGACACGTGGCATTGAGCTGTAGAGAAGAGTGAGCTATGTCAATTAACTGATCTCACAAAAATCGTGTAACTTTGTGTTTATTGCATCCGTCAGCTATGTGGCACCAGTTTCTGTTCCTGGGTGAGCTGCTGGTCGGCGGCTATCTGATCCATTACCTGCCATATTTCCTGGAGGAGCGAACCCTGTTCCTTCATCACTACCTGCCTTCTGTGGTTTACAAGATTCTGACATTGGTAGCCCTTGGTGACCATCTGTATTCAGTCATTCCAAAGTAAGTGATGTTGAGTGGCAGAGGTAGTAGACAAGTATATCAATCTGACAGTTCAATATACATTTTCCAAATATAATGAAAATGATGCCTGAGGAAATTGATGAACAAAGATGATCTGATGAATCCAAGAAAGGTGAAGCAATAAGAGAAATATCTGGCCAACAGTTACAAGACAGAGAAGGTGGCGGTGTTACAAAATAGAAACTGAAATTGGACCAAATGGATTGAGGAAACAAGGATATTCAAGAGAGACCCTAAGAACCAATGAAGAAATGAATGAAACATTTTATTTCTAAGGTCACAAATTGAGCACACAGGCCTGTCTTACATTCAGCCCTTCCAAACACCCATCTTTCACACAGCAGTTGTATTTTATCCACAAATGAAGTGGTTTGGACACCTAACAAGAATGCCCTGGTACTGTCTACCACAGCCAGCCACACTGAAATGTTACAACAGGTATAGAGCGAGCGGAAGACCTCGAAAAAGATGGAGTAATGACATTAAGACCTGCCTTACAGAAATGAACATCAATCATTATAGTGCTTTTGACAGAGCTCATCAGCAAACATTACACCTCCCTCAACACTTCACTGAGGTACAGGGTGAAAGAGAAGAAGAAGAAGTATTTTATCAGTTATGTTCATATAATGATATACATATTATGCATATCAAGAAAAATGATGAGAGGCGTCAAAGGACCCGAACTGGATTCATCCATGATGTTACAATGACTACATAGGGCTGAATGGAGGAATAGGCTGTGGGTACTGTGTGGTGTATACATAGCACGACAGAATGATGATGATGAAAATAAAGAAAAGTTAAAAACATGAGAGGAATCACTGTCTGTCTCTACATCCCATGTTCAAGCAAGAAATTATAAAGACATGAGTCAGCCTAACATATAGTAACAAGTTATCTATACCCTCAACCGTCCAAAACATCGCTAACTTAAATCATTTATGAAAAACCTAGTGGTCAGTACTTCAGTGTTTATGATGATGGTAACAATACAGGAATAAATATCCTAATGGGAAAAACGTTTTTAAAACAAAACTTTGTGTGACTGGTCTGTTTTAGGTCGGTCTAATATGTTGCTGATTGTTCTGTAGGCAAATCTCTGAGAGAATAGGGAGAACAACATTTGACAGTTATGATGATGATGATGGTGCAAGGGATAATTAAACTACAGCCACAATTATACCATATAATGTGCTCCCATAGTAACTTTTTCTTGTGGTTTCATTTCAGAACAACCATATGGCCCTCCCTCATCAAGTACGGGTCTGTGGTTCTTGTCGCCGCCACGCTGCACGTATTTATCTGCCTGTCTGTGTTTACATACGGCAGTGAGTCTCTGAGCCCTCATCAGATCCGTTCATTGACCTGGGTCAGCTCCTGGGATTTCCTCTCTCACTGAACTTCATTTGTGTCGCCCTCATTCCTGCAGTATCATAGACTTCTGGTGACAGAGCATATCATTTTAATCTGTCAACATTCACTTTTAACCCAGGGTTTTGTTTGTTTAGGTTTGAATCTCCATTGAGCTGACATTTTTAAACATTGATCTGGGCTCTCAGGTCGAGCCAGCCTGAACATTGGCAATAGGAAATGTTTTGGGAAGTAAAGTCAGCTTAGCTTGTCTGATATGTTTTATTACATCATCCAAGTAACAAATTTGTATACAAATATGGGGCTGGCACCATATGTCCAATTGGGCTCAGGATACGGAAGTAGATCCTTTCTGTTATGTGTTGGTTGTTGCTTGTGTGTGATGACACAATTGTGTGATAATAATGGACAGTTTCAAACAATGTATTCCAACTGTAAAATTAAATAATGTGAACAAAAACAGTGCAAATATTTGCTTGGCATATTTCAGCGCATGCCGTCAGGTGCATTATTGCAAAGTCTTCTTCTTCTTCTTCGATCCTTCTGTCAGAAAACTTATATCAGGAGGCCAGTAGCCTTTATGAAAGCTATGGTGCAATCCATATCCTCTTGTGTACCATACAGTTTTGTCTTCATTGTGGTTGGAACAGGCCAGATTGCGTCTCTGTTGTCAGCATACAGTTGACAGTGTTGGAGCAGCTCATTGCAAAGTTATAATCACTAATTGTGAAGCACTAAAAAAATTAACACTGTAGCCACATGATTACTTCAGCAATTTCAGATTTGCATGATGCAGGATTATTTATGTGAATTGCCATGATTTCTGCCAGTTTAAATAAATACATTGAATAGATGTTTATTTTTTTGTGTGTCCACATTATTGCAATACCAGAAAGATCGGAGTTTTGCCATAATATGTTTGGTCATAAAGATATCAGTTGTTGTGTCATCCTGTAGGTTTGATGTTTAGAACTGTTGGAAGTGGTTCAAACCTAAGTCAGGGAATGACGGTGGCGTAGGCTCAGGGGTTAAGGTGGCTTGTAATGCAAATCTGGTGACCTTGGTGGTGCATTTAATTTCATCATATATGATGTTTTTTGTGTGTGACATCTTAAATGCTGTTCTGTGGGGGAGTGCACGGTTTTCTGTATGTGACTTATACAGGGTTTTATATATATATTACATAAATATAGTGTCTTATGGGGTATGTTTGATGTTATGAATGACATATATTGGGTCTTTTACGGTATTCTTATGGTGTTTTATATGGTGATTTGTATGTTATCCTTTGTAATGTCTGTTTGGTGTTTTAGTGATTTCCACTAGCACAGAAATGGAGCAGTTACGGGGCACCCTGTCTGAGGTGATGTGGAACCTCGAGTAGCGACTGACATATTATGTTCTGTATGATGTCCTAATTCAACAACATAAATGCCAGCTGTGGACAAACTTGTCAGTGGAACCCAAACAATGGTACTCCCTTGTCATCTCTGGGTAGTGAATCTGACACCTAGCTTCCTCAGACAAAGGTATAAAATATCAGAAGCCAGGTATGCACATTGGGCACATTGAAACATCATGCAGCTTTTGGAAGTCTTCATTAAACTGTCAAAATATACTGCTTCTTTAAGAAAAAATCAAGAGCAGCCTACGGCAAATGTATGTATTGAATGAAAGCAGAACAAAAGAGGTATATATTTCAAAACTAGACAAATAAAGTACTCGCAGACAAATTTTGTATTCATTATAGAAAGGCAAAAGAAGTTGCAAGGAACGTATCTTCTGGCATCTCTCCAGCAGTCAGCTATGTTGTTCGGCTAATGTTGGACTTGACCCAGTTTGGAATGGCTTTGTCTGCTGCACACTCGTCACTTGTTTAAAAGTTGCATTTATTTAATAAAAGGGCTGAAATATCTATTGTGTGTTAACAATTTAAATGCTTTATCAGTTATTTCAAAGGTGATTTATCTTCTTCTCCACTGCAGTACTAGAGGATAGCACCTGTCTTGCCCGTGTGGGTTCCCCAGCCCCGTTTGAGTAGGGGAGAAGGAGGATAAAAGACTGACTGCACCCAGCAAGCATAGAATACAAGATCACTAATTAAGAGTGTTCCTTCGAAGTCAAGAGTGCATCTGGCTGACAGGTGAGGAACCAACAGTATGCATATGAAAAAGCCAGATCTGTAAAATATATGTGCACACAAACCAAAGTCTGGAACTTCTCCTTCAATCCTTCTGTCAGAAAAAACTTATATCAGTAGGGTAGTAGCCGTGATGAAAGCTTTTGTAGAGTCCAGATCAGTGTACAGTCTACAATGTGGAGTCCAGATCGGCATACAGTCTACAATGTGGAGTCCAGATCAGCATACAGTCTACAATATGAAGCCCAGATCAGCGTTTGGTCTACAGTGTGGAGTCCAGACCAGTGTACAGTCTACAAAGTGGGAAAGAGGAAAACGTGCACAAAACAACACAACGTAACGTTTCGGCCAGGCAGCCTTTTTCAAACACAAGTGAAATACACAAATGAGGATTTTCTACAATATGAAGCCCAGATCAGCGTTTGGTCTACAATGTGGAGTCCAGACCAGCATACAGTCTACAATGTGGAGTCCAGACCAGCATACAGTCTACAATGTGGAGTCCAGACCAGCATACAGTCTACAATGTGGAGTCCAGACCAGCATACAGTCTACAATGTGGAGTCCAGACCAGTGTACAGTCTACAATGTGGAGTCCAGACCAGTGTACAGTCTACAATGTGGAGTCCAGACCAGTGTACAGTCTACAATATGGAGCCCAGATCAGCGTTTGGTCTACAATATGGAGTCCAGACCAGTGTACAGTCTACAATGTGGAGTACAGACCAGTGTACAGTCTACAATATGGAGTCCAGACCAGCATACAGTCTACAATGTGGAGTCCAGACCAGTGTACAGTCTACAATGTGGAGTCCAGACCAGTGTACAGTCTACAATGTGGAGTCCAGACCAGTGTACAGTCTACAATGTGGAGTCCAGACCAGTGTACAGTCTACAATGTGGAGTCCAGACCAGTGTACAGTCTACAATGTGGAGTCCAGACCAGTGTACAGTCTACAATGTGGAGTACAGACCAGTGTACAGTCTACAATGTGGAGTCCAGACCAGTGTACAGTCTACAATGTGGAGTACATGCTAAGTGAGATGGAAGCCCTTTCTGAGCTCAGGTGATCTGAACGTCTGTACATATATACCCAGAACATTGAAAGTCATCTAGCCATTTCATGTATACAAAGAACCACAAATATTGTACATTACAATCAACAGGACATTGGAAATCTATGGTCACCTGCAACAATTATTTTGACTTCTACAGTTTTCAAGATATTTGTTATAATGTGAGGGAATGACTTTTGAAGTGCACTCTACAAAGCATATTAATGCTTCTAATGGATATCTCTGTCTCCACAAACATAGGTATCCCAATAACGTAGTGGATTGATGTTCACCTGCCAGCCTGAGCATCTTGAGTTCAAATCTGCATCAAAATAGATTTTTTATTTCTTTCAAGGCCAAGCTAACATAAAACTGGTATTAGATGCTGTCCTATAAAGTTTCGGCGTGCGCTGGACCAAATAGACCTTAAAAGTAGGAATCTACAGTCATATGTCCAATGTGCCACTGGTGCCAAAATTTTCCTCTACTTGAATCCACAAATATCCAGCTCAGAACGTCTTGTCTTTTATCTCTAAGTGAAGCATATCAACAAACAGCATCAAATTCTTTGTAATCTGAAACCGTGCCTGGTTGTCTCCTATGACACGTCTGGTAAATTATGTTATTCATTTTTTGGGGTCCCCACACAGTCACTGAAATGAGAGACCATGGGACTGAGTAAATCCAAGAGAAACCCTGAGACGGACGTTAAAAAGAGGACAAAGATGTTGGACTAGATTCCATTCATAACATAGACAATCTGCACAGGATAGACTGGAATGAAAAAAATAAACTGCGAGCCTTATGTGAGGTATGAACGACACAACAGAATAACGATATGGAAAAGTATTTGTCCCGGGTAACGGACAGACATTACACAGTTACTCCCGAGTTGAAAATGGGCGCTGCGATGATTTCTTCTTCTTCTTCTTCGCGTTCACCAGCTGTAAACTCTGGTGTAAAGTTCTGGTTGTTCGTCGATTTCTGGACTGCAGTCCTGTTCCAGAACCTGAGTGTTGCGTGTGCATCAGTTTTACAGATCTGATTCAATTGAATGCAGACTGCTGGTTCCTTGCCTCTCAGGCAGATGCACTCCGACTTCAAAGGAAGCTCCCCAGTTAGTCGACTCTTACGACATGCTTTTGGGGAGGCAGTGGGTCTATTCTTGTTTTCCCCACAATAGGGCCCCGGAACCCACACGGTAGGCTGCGATGATTTAAAGTCATGTGTCATGTCATTGTAGATATAGGGCCCTAAATCACCCCACCCCCGGTCATTCCAACACTAGTAAACAGTTATTTAAAAACAAAACCGGCAGTAAAGACAGGGACAACTGACGGGCGAGCATGTCTGCTTTCTCTTGATAACGTAGACATTCACCTGTCTACACAGATTTAAATCCGTGTTCTGGTTCATTTCTATTGGAGATATTCCCCCAATGACATCGTTACAGACCATAATGGTTAACCTGGGTCTTTGCAGAGCAAAAGGCCTTTTCCAGTTCTTCTTCTTCTTCTTCACTTCCTCTTTTACCGCTGTGGGTGTCGAGTGAGATATAAGGTTCTGTTTCTGGCTCTTCTGGTCGCCTCGAGCATAGGCACATCGTGCTGTTGTAGAGCTTCTCTGATGTTATCCTTCAATCTTGTTCTTGGTCTACCTCTTGCTCTACGACCTTCTTCTCTTTTCATGTATGCTTTGTATGGTATGGTGTCACAAGGCATTCTCTCTAATTCGCATACCATTTCACTTGCTGTCTTTGCATGTAATTTAGAATTGGTTCTGTGCCTACTTTTTCTCTTATGATCTCATTCCTGATCTTATCTTTTATGGTC